TCAGGGTTTTTACTTGTGTATAAGAGAAAGCAACACTTGATAATCTGAACAGAAAGGATTTTATAAAAGAATATCAATCTCTCTTAGGAGATGGAAATGTAAATTTGGATGTTTATGTGGTCATGAAAAATTCCAAAATTATACCACAAAAATGGCCCCATGGAAACATCGCTGCCATGAGCTGGGTGTAGATACTGAAACTGAAGCCTGTACCACTGATACTCAGCTAGTGGTCCTTGTCGGTCTAGCGGCAACTACTAGAAACACTATATACTGACTCTGGAATCTACAGCCAGGTGCTGCCACCTCCCTCATAAGTATACATTTTGTCTGAGGCTGTGACTCTGGTTGAAAGAACCTAAAAACATGGATCCATGTCTTAAGTTTAATGGAGTACTGAACAGTAAGCAATGATGTTGTTTTACAGCTTCTCCAGGAAAAAATAGGCTCTAACTCCTAAAGAAGGTGGATTTTGTATACACAAGGAACAGGGCCAAATACTGGACTGTCAAAAAAAAAAAAATACTGGACTGCCAATGCCCAAATAGCTCAAAGCTATCAAAGGTTTTTAGAAGATATAAAGGACATTATAACACAGACAACTTTAAAAATGTCAGATATTATTAGCATTACCATCTTCAACATATCATCATCTGGGAACATTCTTCATGAGTTCTCTATTAGTAATCTAATAGAGAACTTAGTGACTTAGAAACAATAAACACTTATTACAACAGAGTAGCTATAATCGGGGAGTTGGGAGTGGCCAAACTGTGTGTTTCTGGTGTAAGATTTTTCATGAGGTTGCAGTTAAGGTACTACTTGAGGCTAATAGTCTCACTGGGGCTAGAGGATCTCTTTGACAGATTTATAAGAAGGCACCTTCACACAGAGAGGCCTCAGGGACTTGATGGCTACTACAGAGAGGCCTCTGATCCTAAATATAGGGCCTTTGCATAGAGTTGCATAAATGTCTTCACGGCATGTCTTTCCTCAGAGAGAGTGAGAACAAGATGTAAGTTACAATGTCACTTTGTGATCTACATTTGATAATTATTCTCCATCACTTCTACCATATTTTATTTGCTGGAAGGCAATCACTAAGTAAGTCCCATACTCCAGGGGAAGGGAGCTAAGTCTTCACCAAAGAGAAGAATAGCAAAGAATTTTGGGACATATAGTACACCATTACAAGTTAAGAAATATTTACTGACAGTCCCAACTAATTTCCTTATTATTTTTAGTCATTTTTTCCATTATAACATGTCAGAAGTTAAATCACAACATACCTCCAGGGATATTTATTTTATCTAGTAAAAATCCTTTATTTCTTAAAGACGTTCAAAGTTCACATTGGACAACATCTTATCAGCAAAGAAACACATTTCAAGCTGCAAATGAAATATTTGTATTTTTTTTGTTGTTGTTCAAATTCCTGAATCCCACAGTTTAGAGATAAGAGATTAAAAAGTAAAACATACTGGGTTGGCTATCCCTATTAATGTAGTGGGAAGAAAAGGAGGAGATATTTTTGTAATTTAAGATGCTTTTCTGAGAGCACAAAAGAATTCTAGAGACCCAAACTTAAATGCAATCAGGAGCCAAAAGGTGATGCAGATGGAGGTGGTGAGGCCTCTGACATTAGAGTAAGGAGATAGGATGGTGAGTAAACAGGCACAGCCCATACTCTCATGGAGTTAATAGTCAATCCAGTGCATCAAAACAACACACACTGAAGATATATGTATTCAATCCCCTATGCTAGGAGTGGAGACACTGGCTCCCTTATATTTTGCAGGACTCAACTGCTTTATCTCTGGATATCAACCTGGAAAGATGGATTGAGAGGCATATAAATGGTGACACATTTTGACTTAGCAATTCTGCTTCCAGAAATCTGTACTAACAAAGTATTCAACACAGCACATTTGAACTAAAAGTTAAAAACAAATGCAAGTGGGAAGTAGGTACATTACGAAGCACTCATTTAGTAATCTATTATGCAGCTATGAAAAAGGATAGTTATTAAGATAATGTAGCAACAAGACAAACTTCTTATAATTTAATGTCATAGAGAAATAATATAAATTATACCCATATAATATCATAATTATGTAAAACATTTTTAAAAAGAAGAAATACATTACAATAAGTATGGATAATAATGGTTAATTTAGATTGGCGTGGTTTAGAAAAATATTTTTTCTCCTCCCTCTTCTCTCTCTCTCTCTCTCTCTATATATATATATATATATATATTAAGATTTTTTAGTTGTAGATGGACATATTTTATTTATTTATCTTTATTTATTTATCTTTATGGGTGCTGAGGATCAAACCCAGTGCCTCACCTGTGCTAGGTGAGTGCTTCTACCACTAAGCCATAATCCCAGTCCCCCCTCTTCTGTATATTTATTTCTATGTATAAATCTTTGAAAAATTAGTTTATACTAAAAACTTGAGCCAAGTCAGCTCCTCTTAAAGAATTTAGGAAATTTATGAAATTTTAGTTGTATGGCTGAGAAATAACATTGCATACATGTCATATGGTTGGTACTCTAGAAATTACAGAGATTTTTTAGTTATAGTATCTTACTTATAATACATAAATCATAAAACAGGAAAAAAGTGGGGCAGGGTGGAGGGAAGTCCACACAATTACCTTAAGCAATATCTACTGTGTCGAAAGCAAAGTAATGCATGTTGGTTAGTGCATGATCAAACATCTGTATCCACAGGGTGAGACTTTCAGAAAAACAGTCCTCAAGCACCCCATAAACCAGGCATAGGAACTGCTCCAGATCCATTAATACAAACCATAAAGTATGAGTAATATATGGAATAAGTGAGGTGGGTAAGTTGCTCTCAGTTGCTCTAACTAGCCAGAAGCTGGCAATTCTATTTTTTAATTCATTCATTGTTAAGCCATAAGGGATCTTGTATCCAGCACAATGTGTTCATTTTACATGCAGGAGTCTAGGATTTGTCCATAGTATGATTTTATTGGACTTTATACTTTTTCATTTTGGGGAACCTGTTTCTTCATAAACAATATTAATTATTAAATTTTAGAAAATCCTACTTATGAAAGAAGAAACTTTATTTTAAAGAATTCCTGCAAAAAGAAAGGGAGAGACTTGTAACAGAGAAGGGGACTATTGCAGTAGGGGGAAAGCTTTGACCCTGGGATGGGCAAACCTTTCAAAAGGCAGGCAGGAAAAAAGTATTTTCTAGGAAGGACTAAACAACACTGTAGAGAACAAGATGTGGAAAAGTGGGCCAAACTAGTTTGGATGATCTTACAGTTGAAAGAGAAGGTTTTATTGGGGGTCAATGTATTTACATAAGGGATTGTTAGAGGGTTGTGCAATGGTTGGGCTGATGGTGGGTCAAACTTCAGGGCCAGGAGAAGGTTGGGAAGTCTAACTAGAATTTGGTCAAGTACAGATAGTTATTTTTTCTGGGTTGGTCACTAGGTACCAACAATCCAGTTAATCATTTATGGGGAATTGGAGGGTCTATGTCCAGACTGGTTATAGGTAAACAAGAGTGGCATTGGTGAGTTTTACTTAAGCCATAAGGTAAAGGATGGTTCCTTGTAGTAAGTTGTTTCTAGAAATGAAAGGGGTGGGAGGGTTTCTTTAACCCTTTCTGTTTTCCAGGATCACAGGGCTAAGATAAAGCTCAACAATGTCAGTGACTATCTTGGTTTAAAAACCAATAAGCTATTATATTTTTACAACACTTTTTTTCAATCCAGAAGTTCTTTTTTTTTCTGCCTTTCTCTTTTTCTCCACATTGCTGTTCTTTGTAAAAATATCATGGGTCCTAGGAACTGCACCTCTAATTTGAGTTCCAGAGACGTTTAGGATCTTTAAGGCCACAGAGCTAATTATGGCAGAGCTCAGATAACAGAAAATAGTTCCTGATCTTTTCCCACAACTTTTTCAGTCTCTATGGAGACTGAAGCAAAAGGCTCTGCTCAAAAGACAGGAGGAAGGCTTGAGGATGAGGTATGTGTGGAGATATTTCCTTCCTGCAGACTTAGAAAGTCAGGGTTGGTGAGGGAATTTCTTGGAGAGCTGGGTGCACCTTAACAGTTGATGGCTGCATGCATACATCGTTTGCCAACATTTACGGGGTATCTACTATGTGTTTGGTGTCCCTGCCTAACAGAGCTTATAATCTAGCAGGGGAGTTAGTGCAATAAACTGCGTGACAGTGTTTATGACAGAAGTGAGGTACCTTAGGAGTGAACCTGGCTCACCTTACCTGTTTGGGGAAGTGAGGCTCCAGAACAGGAACTAAGTCCCCACTGAGGACACAGAGGCAGAGGAGTGTTCTAGTCAGACTGCACAGGGGAAGACTCTGGGGGAAGCCCTGCAACTGTGGTCTGTCGTGGGCCTGGCTAGAAGAACCGCAGAACCCTAGAGCTTGGGAAGCCAGGTAGGTGTCAGTGTAAAAGGAGGGGTTAACACCTCTCCTCTCCTCACCGGCTTCCAGCACCCTGAGGCTGTGGAGGGTCAAGTAACTGAGAAACCTCAGAAAAGCCAGCAGTCCCTCCCATTTTCCTAAACCACCCAGTCAGTCGTGGTGGGCGCCCACCCGTAGCAGGTTCGGCGCTGATTTCCGCCTAGGGTGAATTTTTTACCTCCTCTGGGAGCTTCGGAATCTCGCTTTGCCTGCTCCGGGAGTGCGGTCTGGAGGAAAACGTCCTCCCACACCTGCACATCAAAGTTCTGGGAGCTCCAAGTCGCCCCCAACGCCCGGGGCCAAGAGTTCAGTCCACCAGGGCCACTTTGATTTTCTTCACCTTAACTCCAACTCGCCAGTCCTGACCGGAGCGGGCTCTCGCTGGCTGCAGACCGGCCTGTTCCGGGCTCCCTGCGAGAGAAGGAGGTTGCCTCCCGTGAAGGAGCGGCTGGCGGCTGCGGCCGGAGCGAACCGGGGTGGGGCCGGGGGCGGGGCCGGGGGCGGGGCCGAGGCGAGTTCCCCTCAGACCCAAAGGCCCCCCAGCCGCCTACCGCCAGCTGTCCGGCTGCGCGACGGTCACGCCGCCCGGCCCCTGCTACACCACAGTGCCACAGCTCGCATAAGGTGGACGCCCCAGGGCTTGGCTCAGGCTCCTGGTCCCAAGCGGTGGGTCCTCGGCAGTCCCTCAGGGGGGCCGTCTCTCGGTTTGCTTCTCTCGGAGCCGGCGCTGGAGGGAAACTGCGGGGCGGGAAAGGAACGGGCGCGCGCCTATAGCTGTTGCTAAAACCTATTCCTTTTGCTCCGAGTTCTTGCACGCGGACAGTCCCTCCTCAAACTCTTCGAGACATTGCAAAGCCGCTCATCTGTCAAATTGATTTTTGGATGGGAGGTGGGGGAATTGCTGAGGGACACGCCGTACCTTACTTACATTGAGTTCTGGGTACTTTTAGGGACCTGCCTGTCATTATTGCGAGTTTACTGGGAGTCAGGTATCAGGCTTGTCTGGAACGGGAGTGTGTGGAATTAATTTTATAACTGAGTTCATTATCAAGAAAAAAGACCCTGTGGACAGACATACTCTGGTGGGACAGTTTAGAGCTGCTGTGGGCGGGGGATCTGGTGAAAATCTTCCTTAGCGCGCACCTATGGCTGAGCCCGCCAAAAGGATTTACAGGCACCAGACGTTAGTCGTCTGTCAGGTTAGACGCGGAATGGGAAAACAAATCGAGGGGCGGATGTGCCTACATTCACAAAAACCTGAATAAAGTGACATACTGGGAATACTTCCTTCAGGGGCCAATGCTTCCTTAACATGCCCTCACAGATCACAGCATTTTTGCATACAGTTAACAATGACATGTAAACAGAACTTTGCTCTACTTTAAACCTTTTCATCCTCCTCCCAGCATTATTCTAAAAGAGTTCAAGGTCAACTATTGGAGACTGGGTCACCTGTTAGGGATTTTTTTTTGAAGAAAGTGTTTAGAAACATTTATTAGTTCCTTTCATTCTTCCACTCCTCCCCTGCCCACACCCCCACCCCACTGCTCATCTGCAGGACTTTTCCCTCTCTACCTTTTCTTCATTTTCACCAAAGACCAGGAAGAAAGAAAGCAATCACTTTTGTCATGGAAGTACTTGGGGTTAATTTGGTCTTGTGGTTTTTTGGCAAACATCACTTGTTACTTAGCCTTCTTTAGTTCCTTGAATATTAAAATGTGCCATAGTGTTTTCTGTAAAGAATACAGAGGACTGAAGGAGAAAGAGGAACTGTCCTTGAAGTAGGCTAGTAAGTGATTATTATTTTTCCAGTACTGGAGATCCAACTCAGGGGCACTTTACTCCTAACTCCTTAATTACATCCCCAGCCTTTTACATTTTTATTTTTTTAAGGTCTCCATAAGTTGCTGAGGCTGACCTGGAATTTGCAGTCCTTACCCACAGTGGTTGGGAACCTCACCCCACCAGAAAAGTGGTTATTTTTTTAAACCACAGAAAATGATATTGTTAGTTGAGTTTCAGTATTTCTACTTTGGGGGCAAGATATTTATGAATTATGATTATTTTATCAAGACAACATCAACCTCTCCCTGTGTATGAGAACTCTACCCAATGGAGGGAATATTTTAGAAACCTGAAGTTCTAGTTTATAGAGGCCTACAGGTAAAGATGAGTGTATTTAAGCTATACAATAACTTCAAGGAACCTTGAAATAATGGTAACAGGGATATTTGAAGGTTTCAAGATTGCTTGATCACTTGCCTTTGGGGCAATTCACTTATTCTTTGTGTTATTAGATAATAAAGTTAATAATAATACTGCTCAATAATATTGATCACAAAAGGGGCTCTCATTAATATTCTGTTAGCTCATCATAAAAAGCATGTCTGTGGAATCCTTTTTTGAATGTATGCTTATTTTTTCCTAGTGGTTAAAATTTTTAGATTCATTTCTACTCTAGGATGAATTGCAGGCAGGGGCATATGATAAGGACCTGGACTAAAAATATTTAACTGCACATCGTTCTAGCCCCAGATCAACTTTGAAGTTCTGATAAATCCCCTAATTAATTTTGGGGTCTCATTAAGTCCCTTACCTTTTATGTGCCAATTTTAATCTTCAAAATAAGGGGAGTTTCTTTGAATAGAAAAGACATTTGGGTTCCTTGAAACTCTGTTTAAAAATACAAATCTTTAGGTTTACAGCTAGGAATCATTGCACTAGAAGATTGATTACAGAGAATGTCCTAACATCCTGGACACTACCCCAGCCCCACATAAGCACTGCAATGTAGTGTTTAAGAGCATGAGATTTGTAGACTGATAGGTATGTTTTTCAGCGCTGACCTTAGGCAAATTATTTAAGTTCTTCAAGTCTCAATTTCCTCATGTTTAGAGTAGACATGATAAAATGTCTAAGGATATATGAATACAGTGAAGTGATTACCTAATGTAAACAGCATAGTGTATAGCATTTAATAAAAAATTAATAAAGGGTAGCATTATCTTCATTAATGCTGACTTTCGTGTTCTTTTTATTTTAGCAATATGAAACGTAACTAGAATAAATATAAAGTCCTATGCATTTAGAAAAATGAAAACGTACAGGATGAAGGAGAAGTAAGTTATTGAACCAGTTAACCTTATGGTTAATTGATGTGTTGCCTGTGAGTTAGCAGTGAGCAATGAGGGTGAAGGCCCAGAAAACTCATATGGTTTTAGGCTTCTTTGGTTGAAATTAGAATGATTTGTCTGGGGAAGAAGGAAGAAGAGAGTTGACTCGTGACTAATACATTAATTCTTTGGCTTCACACTCAGTAGTTTGTTTTTGTTCACTCTATATAAACTTTTTTTTTTCCTTTTTGACAGTGCTGGGGATGAAACTCAGAACCTCACACATGCCAGGCAAGTGCTCTACCACTGAGCCACATCCCCAGCCCACCACTCAGCATATTTTGACCTTTTGTTTATATATAAAATTACCTGACAACAGATTGCAAAGAAGAAAATCCACAAGACCTCCCTTAGGCATTCATGGTAGAGTTCAGGTAACAGACAGGAAATATTAGAACAAAGTAATAAATACTCTCGAAAAGAATAAAAGGGAAAGCTGAGAGTCGAACAGTGCTAAACATCAACCAGAGCAGGCTCAAAGAACTAAAATTTAGTTACAGTTTTGCAGATTCCAGTTTTGTAGGCATTTGTCAGGTGGAAATGCTGAGAAAGCATCCTAAGCCAAGTAAAAATTTGTTTGCTAGGGTGAAAAGACACTATAAATGCAAAACATGTCAAGCTGTCTGCATACTGTCCCATCCTTTACTGGCTACTGGCAAGCTATTGGCAAATTATTTTACCTCAGAGTCTTCATTTCCTCAAATGTAAAAGGGGGATCTCACTATTATTTCACATTATTGGGTACTAATTTAATCTCTGAGTGAAGACTTAGTTGTATATAAAACAGTTTCCTGTCTGTTACACAGTAGGCACTCAACCAATTTGATACCCTCCACTCCCATTCTTCTCCTGACTAGAGATAGGTGAGCACTAACCTAGACTTGAATACAGGTGGGGGTTTATGGATTTCATGCATTTTACAAAAAGGAGATAAAGAAATGTTTCAACTGTTCTCATGCTTTACAATGAAGCATCAGGTTATATATATTTCCAGGACCACTGCCCTTCTTCTTCTTCAACCACTGAAGGCTTTCCTCCCTCTTAGACTATGTTTTTATTAACCTATGCTTTGGGGCCAGGTTCTGTGAAAGGAATTCCACACACTTTGAGTGTTTTCTTGCTGGAAAAGTTCTGCATTCCTACATTTGCATGATAGGATCTCTGGCCATTTTACATCCATCTTTTTGCTCCAAGTCATTGCAGTCTTAGCTATTGAAGTGAGTCTTAGAAAATATTTTGAAAGAGATATTGAAAATGGGTTCATTTGGGATACCAAAATGCAAACTTGACTATTTTGAGAGGAATATATTATAGAGTTTTACCTTCTTGACTTTCTTTTTTTTTAATACTAATTTTTTAGTTGTAGTTGGACACAATACCTTTTTTTTTTAATTTAATTTTTATGTGGTGCTAAGGATTGAATCCAGGGCCTCACACATGCTAGGCAAGCAGTCTACCTCTGAGCCACAACCCCAACCCCTTGACTTTTCTTTGGTATTGTTAGATTTTAAAATCTCTTTAAATTTGGAAGAATTTGCCTTAAAATTCTAATTTGATCATGCATGAGTTATCTGTCTTGCAAATGTTGTACAAATTTGCTGAATAACTTAATACCTAGACTTTTCCCCTTTTCAGCTTTTCTCCATGTGAATTTCAAAGAAAAGATAATTCTGTTGCAATGCCTGCAAAGCATGGAAAATTTCTATGAATCATATAGACACCAGTAAATAGCAAAATAATTTAATTATATTAGGTTTTGGTCATTATAGAAAAAAAGAGTTCTCTAAGGGCCAGGTCAGGCCTGTTGTTGATGGAAGACCCAGATCAGGCCATTGACATTCCTACTAGGCCATGAATACCTGACCTGAGAAAGAACTTTTTGAGGAGAGTTGTTCTTTTTGGGCATTTATTCACTTGTTGTTCAATGAATTTTAAAAATATAATCAGTTTATTTGAGTATTTCATTAATTGTGCTGTGCAGGAGGTATGCTGAGATTGACTGTAGTCCCTTAACCTCAAGTGTGGACGTCTTTGGAGAATTAGTCTCAAAATATTCCTGTATCCTATCTTTTAGAGGTTCTGGGTCATTACATACAGTGTGAAACACAGGAATCTGAATTTTAAGAGACTTCTAAGGTGATACTTATCTTGACTGAAGCTTTCTTCTTTTTTTGACAGTGTTATTCCAATATTGATGTACATGGTATACCTCATGTAGACTCTGTGGAGAATAGTGTCATCTCTCTGTCTAGAATTTATTACTTACTGACCAAGTATATGAACAAATCTAAACTCCAGACCACTCTCTGTTTTTGACTTACCTTTTGATTGTTTTCTTTAATAATAAGTATGGACTTGGGCTAAATTTATATACATTTCCATACTGTTCCTTAATTTGATGCTTTTCTCTATTTTTGTATAAATCCAGTTTAGTCTAAAAGAGTATTCTTGGAGCAATTAGATTAAGGCTCCTCTTTACGGATATGGCCTGTT